GTAAAATTCATGGACAAATCCACTGGTTGCAGGAGAACTTGCTGCTTCCTGAGAGGAGTACACAGGTGCCATGTAATGTGTCCAGCCTGAATGCCCTGAAGACAGTTCTGTGAAGGAAGAGGTAATGCCCTTTATCTTGAAGGTTGGCTACTTTTAGCAAAGGGACATGGCACAAGGGTCTTATGAGGGGAACAAAGACACGGAAAGGAGAAACTGCAGGGTGTGGTCTAGAAAGAGGGGCTACTTCTGTTTAGTTAAGAATTGGTATTTCAGAATTATCAGTCCCCATGTTTGGACTCCCCTGGAGACTCAGATGGTAAAGAATCTTTCTGCAATGAAGGAGATCTGGGTTCAATCCCTGGGTCAGGAAGAACCCCTGGAGAAGGGAATGGCAACCTACTCCAGTATTTTTGCCTGGAGAATCCCATGGACAAAGGAACCTGTGGGCTACCATCCATGAGGTTGCAAAGAGTTGGACATGACTGAGCAACTAATGCTTCGTGATGGGACAGGTGGAGAGAGAGAGATGGCACCTACCTGATCAGGGCCATGCTCTAGGAAGCCTTAAAGGCTTCAGTCTGGGCAGGCAGAGGGGACCCAGTGCTGACCTCTGGTCTGAGTCCTGTTTCAGCAACCTGCTAATTATGTGGCCCTTGGTCATTCATGTGTCTCAGAACAGCTATAAGAAGGGGCTGTTAATCACTGTCTTGCTCCCTTATGGGGCAACTGTCAGCACAATATAAATGTGAGAGGTTATTATCTCCTCCACCTCCAGGCCTAACTATATAGTCACCCATCTTAGATCGTTGTCCCAGGCTTAGAGGAGTTTCCCTTCTTCCTTTTGCTGTTGGAGCGGCTCTCATGCCTCCTCCTTGGTTTCATCCATGATCTCCCATATTTCTAGTATTTTATATTTCCCTCTCTCTCTCCTGAGTGTTTCTTCTCTGTCTCCAAACAATCTCAGATCTTAAAAAATAAAGATCCTTCCTTGGATCCTCCATATCTCCCAAGAACACCACCCATTTTCCTTTTTTTCACCAAAGTTCTTAAAAAAAATAGATTACTTTCTCATCTCCTACCCAGTGTTAACTAAGTCCACTCCAATACCCATTTAAGAGTGGGCCTCAAAACCCTCCTACACTGTTGGTGTAGCCAAGATATGGAAGCAACCTAAATGTCCATCAACAGATGAATGGATAAAGAAGATGTGATAGAGATACACAATGGAATATTGTTGTTGTTCAGTTGTTAAGTTGTGTCTGACTTTTTGTGACCCCATGGACTGCAGCACATCAGGCTTCCTTGTTCTTCACTATCTCCTGGAGTTTGCTCAAATTCATGTCCATTGAGTCGGGAATGCTATTTAACCATCTCATCCTCTGCTCTTCTCTTCTCCTTTTGCAGACTTCCATCTTTCCCAGCATCAGGGTCTTTTCCAATGAATAAACTCTTCACACCATGTGGTCAAATTATTCAGCGTCAGCATCAGTCCTTCCAAAGAGTATTTAGGGTTGATTTCCTTTAGGATTGACTGGTTTTATCTCCTTGCAGTCCAAGGGACATACACAATGGAATATTAAACAGCCATTAAAAAAGAATGGAAGGACTTCCCTGGTGGTCCAGTGGCTAAGAAGACTGCACTTCCTTTGCAGGGGAATGCATAAGAATCAAATGCATAAGAAATCAAAATTTCAAATATGGAAATCAAAAATCTTATATATATATAAGAATATATAACTGAATCACTTTGCTGTATGCTTGAAACATTGTAAATCAGCTCTACTTCAATTAAATTTTTTTTTGTAAAGTAGGCTGTGAAAGACTGCAATGCCTACATCTAGGGGCTTCATCCTCTTCTCATCTTGCCTGGTTTAACCTGTCCTGGTGAAATGCTTATGTTCCAGCTTCCTCCACCCACCCTTTCCTTTTCCTTCTCCTCCCTTCTCAGGGTTGGGGGGCCCTCAGATTCTGCTGAGTTTGGGCTTTTTTCTCACTCAGCACACTCTCCTGGAACACTTGGTTAACCTCATGGATTCAACAGTCCCCTTGTAGATGGAGCACAAATACCTTTAATTCTGGCTTTCCCTCCCTTCATCCAATCCGATGGGTTTCCAACTGACCTGTCAAAGCATCACAGACTCCTCAGGCTCAGCTTGTGCAAAGCGGAGGCCCACTTTTCCTCTCTTATAACTGTTCTTTCTCTGTTGTTCCATATACATTTTTTTAATGGTCCCACTATCATTTAGGTCATTGCCTGGAAAATTCCATGGACAGAGGAGGCTGGTGGGCTACAGTCCATGGGGTCACAATGAGTCTGACTTGACTGAGTGACTGAGCATGAACACCAGAGCCTAATGTTTTGACTCCTCCAGCTTCTATGTATCATATATTAAAGCAAACATCAAATCCAATTAATTAACCCTTGCAATGTCCCTGAAATCATCCACTGCCCTTTCACTCTTATCACCACTATTGAGAAGGGTTCCTTTTTTTTTTAATTGACTATGCTGTTATAAAAGTTTTTGAATTGGTCTTTCAGATACCACTCTTTTTAAATCAAAATGATCTTTATATTCCTGATGGTTCTCTCTCTAAAGACAGATTCAGTCATGCTAAAAAAAAATTCCCACTGTTTGCAGAGTAAAGTCACAATTCTTTCTCTCTCTTTTTTTTTTTTACATGTATTCCCCATCCCAGTCCCCCCTCCCACCTCCCTCTCCACCCAATCCCTCTGGGTCTTCCCAGTGCACCAGGCCCGAGCACTTGTCTCATGCACCCAACCTGGGCTGGTGAACTGTTTCACCCTAGATAATACACGTGTTTCAATGCTGTTCTCTTGAAACATCCCACCCTCGCCTTCTCCCAGGAGGGCATATTTTAAAACCACCAACACGAGTTGTTCTATCTTTCTGTGTTCAGTAACTAGCACAGTTGTTTCTGGCACTTGGTAGGTGCTCAGTAGATGTTTCTAGTGGAATAATGCATGAAGGGGGGAGATATTGAAGTCATTGTATCATGAGTAATTAGTGTAGCCCAGGTGAAGAATGATGGAGGTGAGAATTGGTGGGAGAGATTCTGAGGTAAGAATTCATGGGACTCTATGACTGGTTGCATGAGAAGGGTTGGGAAGGTGGTCCATTTGGGGTTGAAGGTGGTCTTGAAACTAGGAGAGATGGTTGGACTTCCTTCTTGGGGTTTCAAAGGTAATGACATATAAATCATACAGCTAAACTTAAGCCTCAAGTCTAGTAGTTCAGTTATATTTGGAAAGGTCTGGAGTTGGCAGTCATCAATTTGAGCCGGAAGTCATCCCCTATATGTCATGTTTCTCATTTATAAATGTGGAGGTTATAGTACCTGTGTACCAGAACTTTACAACTAAACTCTTGGGAATATTAAAAGGTTGGCAACAACTCATCTTTTGCAAGAAATTCTCACCACCACATCCTCTAGAAATGGTCATCTTTAAACACAAGGGAACTATCAGATTGAACCATATGAAATGCTGGTATTCCAGTTTTGACTTATAAAGAAATCAGTTCCATAGGGTTCAACCTAATAGATATGTCTGCAGTTTGAAGATTTGAAAACCTCTTCACAGATGGAAAATTGAGATGTTCCAGCATTCTGGATCTTTCTATTCCTGAGACTGAGATCCAACTAAAAGAAAGGTCAGTCTTGAAGTTAAATTAGGTTTAGCCCAATACAGGTATTACTTTCTCATTTCCTTAAGTCAGATAAAGGAATTAAAGAACAAAGACTAAATACTGGATTCAAGAAACTTAAGATGGAAAACTTATCTTGGAACTCCAGCTAAGTCCAGATTCAACCCCATTTCCTACACTGTGCCGTTTCTAAGTAATTGTATTTACTTAGAAGTGAAATAGCTGAGGACCTAATAAAAAAGGAACTAGGAATTAAATAGTTCTTTGCTCATTTTTGTATTTTTGTACATCTGGAAAGTGATTAGTTGACTCCTTCATTACTGGTAGGAATAAATCCAATATTTGCCGATATAAATTAATGAAAAATACCTTTTGTCCTTTCCAGGAGTACTTCGAAACCTAAATACTGAATAGAAACTTTCAATGTGAAAGTTCTTTCTTTTCTTCTTCAGTGTTTATTCTTCCACTTTTTCAGATTAATACCGAAGATATTTGGGTAAAAGGTGTGATCTCAAATGTCAATAGAGCAAAACTGCACGAATCCATCCATTCCCCTCTTTGGAAAGCAAACTCCCCGAGGGCAAGGTCTTTGCCGCATATTCCCAGCATTCTGAACCGTGCCTAACGCTCTCTAGCTCTCAACAAACACTTGGTTATCCGTCCGTTCATAATCATCGGTGCAGGGCGCGGGCCATCAAGGAAACCGGCCTGCAGCTTTTCCTTCCTGCGCCCAACCTGCGCAGCTCGCAGCCCCCCAGGGTCAGAGCTCGCACCCCCGGAAAAACCCTGGAGGCGCGGCCCACCTCTCGGCGACCCTGCGGCCCTTCCCTTCCCTTGGAGGAAGGAGCGGTAGCCGAGGAGAAAGGGAAACCCGGGCCCACTTCCTGTGCGGGACAGGGCCGGGCTTTCCGCGAGCCCCTCGGCTGGAAACTGCCGATTCGCAGCACAGGAGAAGGGAGTGGGGTGCGGGAGCCGGGCGAGAAGGACCCGGCCGCGGGAACCGCCCCCACCGGCCCCGGCCCCGCCCCCCGCGCGCGTCCCCGGCGGCGGCGAGAGGGTTAAGCGCGCGGGGGGCGGGGCCCGAGAGAGCCGGGCGCGCGGATTGAGGGCAGCGGGCGGCTAGGGGCTGCGCCGGGGGCGGTTCCGGGCGGCGGGGGCGGGGGCTGGCGGAGGAAGGGGGCGGGCCCCAGAAGTTGTTGGGCGCTGGGCCGGCGGCGGGAGGGCGAGCGGGCGGGCGGCGGGCCGGCGGGTGGAGCGGGGCCGGGGCTCGAGAAGTTTGCACGGCGGCTCCAGAGCGCCGGGTGCAGGCCCCGCCGGCCGTGCGCGCCCGCTGCCATGGCTTTCCGCCGGAGGACGAAAAGTTACCCGCTCTTCAGCCAGGAGTTCGTCATCCACAACCATGCGGACATCGGCTTCTGCCTGGTGCTCTGCGTCCTCATCGGGCTTATGTTCGAGGTGAGCGACATCGGGGCGGTCCCTCTCGCGCGCCGCTTGGCGTCCCCCTACGGGTCCCCCGGGGTCTGCGTCTGCGCCCGGACGCCGGGCCGCCGTGTCGGTCCCTTGCATTCCCCCGGCTTTGTGCACCGTGCGCCCCTCGGCCTCCTAGTCAGCCCAGACACCGCCGCCAGCTCCGCGTCGTGCCCGCCAGCCCTGCTGCCCGCTTGGGTACCCACTGGACCCTGCAGCTCTCTCTGCAGCCCCGACTCCCAACCCTGGCCTCGAACCGACGCGGCGCTGCTACCCTGGCCCGCCCAGCGGAGGTTCCTTTCTGGTGTCCAGGAGCCAAGCCCGGAGACTCGCAGACCCGCAGGCATTGCACAACTCCCCCTTCCTAGCCCTAGCTGCCAGCTCCTCTGGGCTTTTCCAGTGGGAGGAACCCCGGCCCATTTCCACTTCCCACCTGATTTTCGGGGTCTTTTGCATCCTCAACTCTGGGCCACAGTGGGGGTGTTCGGGGTTCGGCCCTCGCTGCATCCCAGCAGTGCCCTTTGCGGTCCTCCTGACACCACTCTTTTTTTTTTTGCTCTTGCCCCAAAGGCCAGTTTTCATATACCCTGTGAACGTAACGTTCTGTGAACTGTTCCTTCACTCCATCTGTGGTGGATCTAGAGCTTCTCCCTGTGACAGGAGCAAGGTGAAGGCGGGGCATACCCTCTGCTTTTAGGAGAAAGGTGATTCTACCATAACTGTGGGGGTAGGGGACAGCTGGGGCAGGCCTCATAGAACACCGACTTAACTCCAATGGGGTCGGAATCCAAGGGGGCTGATGGGAAGACTCCCTGCTCCGGACAGCCAGAAAAATGTGATAGTCACAAGCAGGGAAAACTGGCAAACAGCAGAGGACTCGCCCTGGTCTGCCTTGTCCCAAGGTGAGTGCCGCTTCACCGGCAGCTTATCTGCAGTTCAGGAATGGTCTGGGAAGCTGTAGCCATCTATCAGTTGCCTTGGATATGGAGGATTCCTGATGTGGCTAATTTCCTCTTCCATGTCCCTCTGTATCTGGGTTCCCTATCTTCTCTCTCAGGATCACGAGGGCCCTGCTAGACAGGGAAGCTGCCCTCAATGTGGGAACATTCTTGTGGTGGCTGAGCCAGGGTTGGATGGGTGCACGTGTCCTTGGCTGGGCTTCAGGGTCCATCGGAAGTAACTGGAGACGACTATTGGGGTCTGCAGGCCCGCTTTACTCTTCCTTCAACCCCCACAACTCTCGCGGTATATCCGCGGCTAGGGCTTTGTCAGGCCAGGGTCATCTCCTGTGCTGCCGTCTCTGCTTGGTCACTAATCTGATGAAAAAAAAAAAAAAGCTGCAGCCTCAGTTTCCCCATCAGTACAGATGAGTAAAAACCTGTCTTTCTCACGGGGGTTATTGTGAGGTTTAATTGAGATCGTGTGAGCAGCAAACGCAGTAACAGCTTCTACCAATATAAAAGCAAGTCGTTTGCGCCCGAACCTTTATTGTGGGCCATAAAAATAGCCTATGGGGTAGAGAATTTGTTTGCTCCAGCAGATGCCCTCAGTATCTCCTGGCTGTCCTTCATTCTGAGAGGCCTCCTAATGCCTTGTCACCAGTCTTGGAGGGTGTGGTTGGAGAGAAACACGTGACAGCTATAGCTCACACAGCCACATGCTCGCTCTGCAGCCTGGGGGGGGGCCTCTGCTGTGTCTCTGGCGTTCTTTAAGGGTGGTGACTACCTACTCTGTCTTTGCTCCAAAAGAGCTGCCGAGCGTTTGAGCTCCAGATACCTCCTTCCTTCACTGCCTGTGGTCTGGTGGAAAGCCCTGTTGGTTAAACCTGGCCGCCTATGGGAGGGAGAAAGTGCTGGGAGTCCTTAATCCCCTACGTGAAGAGGAGGAAGGAAGGCCCAGGGTGGGAAAAAACAGCGAAAAGACTGCCCTGCTCGCCTCCCCATCTTGGGATCGGACTGGGAAGTGTGGAAAGGGTCATGGCATGAAATGCCATCCCGCCACCCTCTTCCAGTAGAGCCTTAGTCCCCGTGGCATCCATGCCTTCAGGCAGGCTGTCTCCTGGGACACTGGGACACTGAGGTGTAATGTGGGTCAGTGTGGGCTGGCCTGGGAGGAGAAGGGCCGTGCCCCAACCTCCCGTATGAAGCACGTGTGTTCTGCTGTGCTAGGCACACAGAAGGTCCTCATCATATTTACCAGCTGACGCTCCACGGAGATAGGTATTTGGGGAGACTCAGGTTTCTAGAGCTACCAAATGAGAGCGGAAACAGCTCACTGTCTTCTGGGGACCTCCGAGAAACACATGTGGGCGTCCTCACAGCTAGGGCAGACCATCAGGGGACTTACTGCTGTCACTCGGGGCCATTTGGGCCCTTCCCTGGAGGGGTGCTCTGCCTGTGTGTGTAGGTAGGGATGTGGGTCTGGGTGTGGGGGCGGGCCAGCACTTAACCACATTTTTCTTAAGAGTGAAGACGGAAGGAGATGGAAAGGGGACGGGGAGGCAGGGCGAAGGGACTGCCGGCTTTTGGGTTTCTAACTTGGGGCAGGGCTAGGATGCCTTCATTCAGAAGCTGAATCAGGGAAACTCAATTATAATTCTTCCCACAAAAAGCGAGTATCCTGGCCACTCCCTCCTCTGGGGTCCCCTGCCCAGCCTCGGCCAATGAGCTGAGGCCCTCTCCCCCCACCCTAGCAGCCACGGCCCTTGCATCCTAACTGGTCTCCACCTCTTCTTGTGCCTCACCCCTTCCCCAACTCACTGGTCAGCTCTCCAGCATTCAGAAGGGCTTTCGTTCCCCAGCAGGGACCTCAGGACCTTAGTTCTGTCCCCTGGGAGATGCTGACTCCAAGTTCCTTCCCTTGGGATCGCTTCCTTTGGGAACATGTGTGAAAGGGTTCCCCTCCCACCTCCATCTGGCTCAGTTTTGAACCTTCCTGAGATTCCTTCTCCCATTTTTGAGGCTGGGGTGGGGGAGACAGGCTCGTCCCCCCTGAGCCCAGGTTTTCTTTCCATCCTGCGGGCTGTTTGGAATAGAGCTGTTCTTTGCAGTCTCGGCACTCGGCTAAAAAATGTCAGGAATGTGGAGCTTTATTTCCCCCCCCCCTCCTTCCCTTCCAGCTCTCTCTTTCTTGACTCTGCTGGGGAGAGATGGTGCAAGGGGGGGTTTCTGCTCCACACTCTGGGTCCTTCAGGACTGTCTTGGTGGAGTCCAGCCCCAGCGGCCTTCAGGGTGTGGGCAGCCAGTGGGGTGTGTGTCCGATTTGAAAGCCGCATTCCCTCCCCTTTCCCTTCCCTTTCCAGTGTCCTGTTCTTTCAGTGCCACGTTTCAGACCAAACTGGGCTGGGGAAGAGGGAGGAAAAGGCGCTCATTAGCAATCGGAGAATGAGAACAAGGGGGTGCACATCCAGCGGAGAGGAAGCCACTTGTATATTACCTCTGAAGTCATTTCGAGACAGAAACTTTTGTTTGTTGCCCAAGCTCATTTGCAAGCGCTGCCGGTCTGCAGCATGGAATCGGTTCTGAAATTCTGGGCCCATCATATGGAGGTTGGGTTTCTGTTTTGGTCCATGATGACTTTAAGAAATTCGGACTCAGAACTTCGAGGGCAGTGGCTGGCTTTTGCTTTCTAATTGTTTTGGAGACAGATGTAGTAGGGCCACCTTTCCCCCAGGAACCACCTTCTTCCTGGTTGCTGACTGGTTGCCATGGTCAGCTTGTCAGGATGATGTGTATACAGTGGGAGCTGGTGGTGTTACAACCTGGCAGGACACGGGTCCCTTGGCAGCGGTCCACATCCTGCCAGGCGTCCCCGTAGGCACCGCAGCCTGAAGTGAGGCTGCCGGTCCTGCCCCTTGGCATTCATGAGTGCCCTAAGACAGTTCTGCCTCCGTTCTGTTAAGACGAAGAGCTGTGTATACAGCACAGATGTTCATCCATGGGCATATGTCGCCTCTCTCTGACTAACTCCTAATGTGCTTTTGAAGACGTTCCTCTGCCAGCTTGTATAGTTCCTGACTTACGCGTCTTCCTCTCCTGCCTCTGACGTGGCCCATCAGAGGTGTTCTAAAGAAATGAGTCAGGGGAAGCCGAGAAGGGCTGTCTCTGGGGTGCCCTTGTTCTGTGATTGGATTTCTACCCACATTTCAGTGATCTGAACAATAGAACAGAGATTTGGAGCTGGTGTTCCTCCTGGCCCACCTAAAGTGTCAAAGCCTCTCCTGTGGGATGTAAGGGTACCTCAGTGATCCCTACTTACTCCCTTGGCAAAAGTGTGACGGCAGAAAGGCGGTGTTGATCAGTGAGTGAGTTTTTAACTTTCACCACAGGATAATGTATAAATGTCTCGCACTGGGCCTGGCATGAAGGCACTCAATTGATGGTCTCAGCAACCACGCTGGTGGCTTCTGTTACTGGTGTCCCAGTTGGGCATGTGAGCACACGTTCCGCCATCACACTAGCCCCGATTTCCATTTAGATATGACCTGTTTTTCCGTGAGACCTTTCCCCCGAGTTCTCCCCTGCCAGCCGTCTGCCCCAAAGGGGACAATCACAATACCCTAGGTGCCTCTTTCCCCAGAGAACATCAGTTCTCTCTCTCCCATCCATCTTATTGAAAGGTGGGCCAGGGGGTGCTAGAGGGTCTCAGATGTGTGGCTGTTAGCTGCCCTGACAGCCCCATCCTTGCCACTTCCCTCTCGCCTGCTCTGTGTCTGCACCCTCAGCTGCTGCTTCTCAGGAGCACTGTCCAGCCTGGTCACAACAGAGTGCCTTAGTCCTGCCTGTTTGCCGAGTCCCATGTGTTGCTATGGAGAAAACTTCAGTCTGGCAGGCATGAGCTCCTTTTTTGATCCGCTTCATCGTGGGCAGGGGCCCCAGAAATCACTCTATGGCAGATGTATCCCCCATTCCCACCCTGATAAATGCCTAAGCTGAAGGGTTGATAAGAGGGGATTAGAGTTCCCAAACTACAGAAGTGCTTTCTAATCA